TACGAGGGAAGGCTCAAGCTATTTACGGACGGTTCATTAATCGAAGAGGAGGTTGGTTATGGGGTGTCTGGGGAGGACATAAGCCGCTGCGGCCGGTTACCCGGTCTCTGTGGTATCTTCTCAGCTGAGGCCTATGCTCTCCTGCAAGCTTGTAGGCTAGCAAATGGGTCTCAGGCCGTTGTATTTTCTGACTCTGCGAGTTGTCTCTCTGCCCTTGAGCATGGGCAGGTTGGACACCCGTGGCTGTTAGAGGTGCAACAGTACGCTAACATAGCCTTTGTATGGGTACCTGGACACGCAGGTATACCAGAGAATGAGTCTGCTGATAAACTAGCTAACCAGGGTCGTCTTGGCATAACAACCGTGATGCATTCCTGCGTCGTATCAAGAACACTACACAAGAGTGGAAGGATGCACCTAATTCTCGAGATCAGAAAGTTCTCTGATTTCAGCTTCGATAAACTTCGGGTCGAAGTTTGGTAGGCCCCTAATGACGACCTTGAATGGCTTCTCACCGGGAATGTCGTGGTTGAAGAAATCCACCTTGGAAGTTCTCAGGTGGGCGACGACCAAGTCATACTCCGCTTTGGTACGGAGCACCACCTTGGTGCCGACTCTGCCCAACTTGTATTCGGCTTTAACGCCTAGCGTCGCTAGATCTGCGATGAGTCCATTAAGATGAGCATTTTTCACTACCAATGGAGGTAGCTTCTCTTTTGCCGCACTCGGGCCGGCAGAATTTTCGTTGCCGATGGCGTCGCCGAAATCACCGATGTCGCTGGCGTTCGTCGCAGTGACATCGGACTGGCCTCGATTCTTCTTCCTCTTCTTGCTGCGTTTTTTCAACACAGCTGGCTGGATATTCTCATCCATGGGGAGAACAGCAAACCTGTTCGAGGTACCCAACAGACAATTTGAGTTGATCAACAGCTGAATAAGCTATTTATAAGCTGAAGAAGCTTGTTTTTGCCTGAATAAGCTCCTATTCAACATGCAATGTTTGTTGGGTAGGCACACCGGAGCTTCCTTCACCGGGGTTCTGGACCTTCGCCGGGCTTCGCGACCGATGCTTCCCCATTTCGGGGCACACACACGCACGACAAATCGCGAAAGAGAGAGCGCGAACACTATCGCCACGAACTTTTCAAACAACTCGAGAGAGCGAGCTAACACCGAACTGAACTGCTTGACGATCAAGCAGAGAATGATGTATGCGCTTTGCGTGAAAGGTGGCTACTTTTATATGATAAATTCTTCTTCTTCTTCTTATTTTCCTCTTTTGCTATTGTGGCTGCTGTGTTAAGCTATGAAATCCTTCTAGTGGGAGGAGCCAAAGCTTGCGTCAACATGCTCACTTTCGGTAGTGCGTGTGTTGAAGAGGAAAAGGGTTGAAGTTAGTGGGGTGACCGATTACCCGCGGTCGGCTCCCCGAGATGGGACTTTGCCAGATAATATGAGGCGGAGAATGGGGATCAATCTAATCAGCACTAAAAGGAATGAATACAAGAAAATCACACAAAACGTTCGCCTCGTGCGCGAACAGCATGCTTATGCAGGTTGTGTTAGTTTGCCAACCCCTGATGCACAAACAATAGTAATAACAATTATAAGCGCCAACATATACAGACATGAATTTTTGAACCTGAAAACTCATCAGCGATTTTTGCGACGTTACATTTTGGAAGGCAAAACTCATAGGCACATAAACGCATGCATGAGATTTGAGTTTTTGAGTTTTTCCGAACACTGGTGTGAACACAGATAAAAATTCTGAATTTTAATTAATGTAAACATTCATTCACGTAAACTTGTATTTAATTTCATGCAACCGAGCAACTTGTAAACAATGTTGTTTACAAAGATGCACTTTTGTATACAATATTTGCTACATTGCATGAAATGTCTCAGAACTTTACATGATTTATAATGTAAACTTTCATGATATGTAACGCTCCATTAATGTGCATCATATTGAACAGAAATTTACACTACTTTTTCGAACTGTGTAAAAACTAACACGACACGTTCTCCAGCGCTATATTTTGAATAAAATGAAAATAATCATGTTTGATTTGATCCTCAAAATCATCCCCACCAAGATGAAGACGAATATTAATATTGACAACAACGATAATGAACATCCAGCCACGAATGAAGAAAAACAAATCTCGAGTAACATTTGAAAAGGGCCTATGTCCAAAACGTAAACAAATCGGGTTTTGATACCATTCTTTAGCACCGCTTGATAGCTACTAATCGTGTAGGAAAGTTCCGCATAATCGAGAAAAATCGTTAAAAATAACTCGATTTTCGAAACGGCCGATCAACAAAATTTTTCGATTCATTAATAGGCCCGCACGCTAAAACGGCCAACCATTAATTTATTTCATTTCATTGATAAGCCTAGTGACGTAGAAGGGCCGATGATTGAAAAATTTCAAACCAAAGCTAGGCCCTACTGCTTGAGGCAGGGCCGATGATTTGTTTTAAATTTATTTAACGTTGCAAAAAGGCTTAGCAGAGGGCCTACCATTTCTGATGACAAGCACAACGGCTTAACAAAAAGGGCCTATCCATTGAAAGATTCACAAAAAAGGCTTATTAATTTATGAAATTATATTGTTATCGAAAGCTTTTCGCATATTTTGGATGTTGTATACTGAGATACAGTTACTATTGTTGTTGTGAACAATATAAATGCCAAAAATACTTCAATTTTCTTAAATATGAATTGAATAGCCGCCGGCGCCGGTGGTGTAGTGGTAAGCGTAACTGCTTTCTAACACCCCGATGGGTCTGGGTTCAATCACCAGCCGAGGTCGGTGGGATTTTTCTGAGGCATAAAAATCTCTGGTCACGTCTTCCTTCGGAAGGGAAGTAAAGCCGTTGGTCCCGGCCCATGTGTGTTGAATGGGTGCGATATCCTACGCAGGTGTGGAAGCTGCCTTCCTGCACATTCGATTGCCGTCAATGGATGGCAATCGATGTCCGTCGGTGATTGGCACTAGTTGCGGAACAGAGACCGACGTTAAATAAAGGAAAGAAGAAGAATTGAATAGTGGCGATCAAAATTTAAAATTCATTTTCTGTTTTGTTTTCGTTATGGACATAGGCCCATTTCAAATGGTACTCTAGAAATGTTAAATACGATACTCATAGGTTGCCTTGATCAAGAGAATGTTGTTATTTCAATATTCAGATTCATGCAGGTAGTTGGTAGGTAGAAGGAATGATATTTATCAGCACTGGTCCCAAGTAAATATCATCATCCGTTGGTTCTCTGTGTAGCTGAAGCCGATCTGGCAATAACGGAGTGGCAACTGTGGGCGGTCAATCATGCTCATGCTTATGCATTGCGAAGGCATGTATTTGGCAGATGTATTTGTGTATCTAAAAAAATATGGCGTGAGTTAACAGTTTTCGTAAATGTTCACTAATTTATGCAAATTAAAAAAAAAAAAGAATTCTCCTTAATTTTTATTTTATAATTTTTATTACATCCCAACCTACGAGGATGTATGGAATTGAGAATCACGGTTGTAAAGCTGTGGGCATCCGATTACGGTTGACCATACATTATTGATAATCATAGAGTGGAATGAGCCAGGGATTATAATTACCTGTTGTATTGGAAAGTGTATGGTTACATGTGTGTGTTTCTTTAATTGGACTTTGACATTTTCAAGCGTTGTAGGCAATCACGAGCAAGGTTGTTAAATTCAAAAAGGATCATCACCACTTTCCCGCTGCTGCATTGAATGTCTTTTTTCCTTCTTAAAATGACACGTGCATTATCCAAACAATGTCATCACCACCCGCCGTTAGCCTCCCGCAGAATGAATGCCTCGTAAGTACCGTCACTTTTCCAGTGCAACAACATCATTTTGCATGCAACCAACCAGCCTTCCAACAACAGAAAAAAAGGTATTTTAACCGGTAAATGTTAATTTGAATAAATTTATTATCATGTTTTTCATCACGACAGGCGACGACCTGGGACCAACGGCTGATGGCGCCTGTCAATGGGTTTTCCACATGAGGCTTGGGGCTGTCAGAGGATATGTGCAATGATGGTGGGTAACATGTATTCTGGTGAGGTGCTGTGAAAAATCATGTACGTTAGGTACCTATAAACTCGATTTCCCATACTTAAGGGGGACGTTGCGGGGGTGAGGTGGGATGTGCGGGAAAAGTGCAATCAAAGGTAATGGGAAATATGGGAGAGGTGGTAAGCTTCGTTCGTCGTAAACCAGGAACGAATGGCATAGGGTGGTACATTATGGAAAAAGGTGTTAGATTTCTTATAGGCCACGCTACAGTTTGATTCATTACCCCGAAATATGAGTCTGTGCAAAAATGGTAAAGATTGATGAAGGTTTAGAGGTCACCCTCTAGGGCTATTAGAAATCTACCAAATTGAACCACCCTAGTGTGGCATTGTAGTAGGTCCGTAATTTATCCTTTGGTCGAGGCGATGATGCCATACATGCGTGTATTGCCATGAATAATAACCATAATTCGTAGTATAAATAAAATTAAATTAATTGCAAACGTCCGAGGTGGGAAGAGATAACATCGGCGTGAATCCCATCCTTAATGGTGGTGCGAGAGTGGTTCGGGTTGTTTTGATTTATGGAGCCGAAACTATGGTGTTTAGCTTTGTGCTGTGTTTGCGGATTACCAGCATGGAAAATGAATTCATTTAAATTTCGAACAAATTAATAGCGACTAGTTCTAATGATCTGAATAATGTGTATGCGAAATGCATTGTTCTGTGACTACGATAGGAGTTTTAGCTGACTGGATAGTTTTGCTTAAGCAAAAAACCAAATGAAAATTATTTTAATTTCGCTGCCAGAACGGTCACTTAAATGGGGGAAAATATATATTTTTTTTAATTTGCTCCCCCAGAGCAAAAAACAGCTAGTTTCGTTCTGTTGGTGCGGAAAAACACGTCACACTGAAACGATTCCGGAATATTGTTCAAGCTCAACACTTACCCAACGTTGCTGCACCCGTGGAGGCTGTCGTCACTTCAGGAACTGACGCAACTGGAAGCATTAGAGTAGCCAAGACTGCCACCAGTGCCATTGCCCTGTTCAATGGGGATGCTGCTCGTTGCAGAAAGATTGACATTGACAGATACATAATTAATTTCATTAAACAGTCGTCGATTCATTTTCGGCTACGATTCACTCGAGTACATTTCTTCGGTTCTGTTTGTTTGCCACTTTTTTTTCCATTCCTTCAGCACTCTCTAGAAGCTAAATAGGTTGGTGCTTCACGATGGCACACCGATTAATAGACGCCTCTCTCCATTATTATCCGGCAGTGCTGCTTCTGGGAACTAATGAATTATTAAAATCACTCGTCGTTGTTCTGGTGAAAGCTTTTGATTTGTTGCCGTGAAATTGTTTGCATTCGTCGAAAGAAAAAAAAATCATCACGGCGGAACTGCTGTTACTTTGGCTAGCGACTAAAGAGCGACTAGTGACATTATTTACGTTCTACTGCGGTACCGCAATAGATCGATGCCGGGTAATGATGTTTGTTATCTATGAAAACGAACACGCGGTTGAACTGTGTAGCATAGAGGTCTTATCTGGATCGCATTTATTTTTTAATGAGCGATCTTTGTATTTTTTTTTTAACGCTGGTCGGTATTGGTGGTGCATGTTTGGCTGCCACGGTATTCGGTCACCGAACTTGTTAGGTGCTCCAAATGAATGTTGAGTGTTGACTTAGTAGTCTTCTTGAGTACTTCCTTAAAATTGACAAAGAAACGTTTGGCGTACAAACTTTCCTATGATGAATAATGTTTTTTTTTGCATCAGTAAACGCTGTTTGATGTGCAGAATTAGAAAATACAAAAAAAGTGAAAGTGGACCATAATGCCTTGTACGTCACTTTGTAGAAGGTAGTCCTCTATGGCCACGAGGAGATCCAACGCGCCCTTGATATTTTCGAACGGATGATGTGGCGTACCATGAAGGGTGATACGGTCAAAATTTGGTCAAGGGAAAACGCGTGTAAATCGGTGAAATCGTTTATTTAAAAAATCAAATTAAATTTCTTTTTCAAGTTCAATTAGTATAAAATTCAGGAAAAATATTCAGTTAGGCTTCCGCTTTCCCAAATCCGAATTGCCGGGCCTTACGCTTGACCCCTGCCATCAGATTTTGTACAGCCACCTTGTCCACCTTCTTCGCCGCAGAAAGCCAGTTTGCCTTGAACTGCTGCTCGCCCTTAGCAGTTTTTTTGGTCTTCTTTAGGTTCCGCTTGACAATAGCCCAGTATTTCTCAATTGGGCGGAGCTCTGGCGTGTTGGGAGGGTTCTTGTCCTTGGGAACCACCTGCACGTTGTTGGCGGCGTACCACTCCATGGCCTTTTTACCGTAATGGCAAGATGCCAAATCCGGCCAAAACAGTACGGAACAACCGTGTTTCTTCAGGAAAGGCAGCAGACGTTTATTCAAACACTCTTTCACGTAAATTTCTTGGTTGACAGTCCCGGAAGCTATGAAAATGCTGCTTTTCAAGCCACAGGTACAGATGGCTTGCCAACCAGATATTTCTTTGCGAACTTTGACAGTTTCATGTGCTTGAAAACATCTGCTACCTTTCCCCTTCCTTTTGCCGTATAAAACTCCTGTCCCGGAAGCTGCTTGTAGTCGGCTTTGACGTAGGTTTCGTCGTCCATTACCACGCAGTCAAACTTCGTCAGCATCGTCGTGTACAGCCTCCGGGATCGCGCTTTGGCCGTCGTATTTTGTTTATCATCGCGATTTGGAGTCACTACCTTCTTGTAAGTCGATAGTCCTGCTCGTTTTTTGGCTCGATGCACGGTTGTAGACGATACACCCAGCTTATTTGCGGCATCTCGGAGAGAGAGGTTAGGGTTTCGCTTGAAACTACCGGCAACTCTCTTTGTCGTCTCAGCGGCTTCCGGTTTTCAATTTCCCTCCGATCCAGACTTCCTGGCTGTCGACAAACGTTCCCCAAACACTTTAATTACATTTGTAACGGTTGATTTAGCAACTTTTAGCGATTTTGCCAACTTTGCGTGCGAGTAGCTCGGATTTTCGCGATGCGCGAGCAAAATTTTGATACGCTGCTCTTCTTGCTTGGACGGCATTTTGACAACTGAAGAGTGAATTCCAAAATCAAAATAGGAGCAACATTCTACACATACACACCTTCAAAATGAGGGGTGTTCAGGTTTTTTAAATGCAAAATTGAAAGAAATACGTCAAGTTGATATTGACCAAATTTTGACCGTATAACCCTTTATACTGGAACTTTCGACTTTACGGTCGGACTGTAGTAGGCCAAAGCCAGGGCTTCAGAATCATATTAGATTAATGGGTTGGAAAATACTTTAGGTCAGAGAGGGTCTTGGTCTTGACCAGTTCGGAACATTTACACTCGACTACAAATGTGTCGCATAAGAGCCACAAAATGAATGTTAATAAGGGACTCAAAAACTACCAGGGACAGCCCTATGAGGTTGTACGCAATGGTGATGTAGGACTACGTGATCTTATATAATAAATCTTATTTGTTAACTGCAGCAAGATTTAACGGCGCCGGTTGTGTAGTGGTAAGCGTGATTACCTCTCACCCCAGCAGGCCTGGGTTCAATACCAGTCGGCGCCGCCGGGATGTTCTGAGGCATAACATCTCTGATCACGCCTTCCTTCGGATGGGAAGTAAAGCCGTTGGTCCCCGGTTCATGAGTTGATGGGTCGATAGGTAGGGTCCAGGTGTGGGAGTTGCCTTCCTGGCACGTCGGTACGGAAAACAAGATCGACGGAAAAAAACAAACCAAAGGAAAAAAAAAAAAAAACTGCAGCAAGAGCTTGTGTTTAGTGTAGGAATAGGAATTTGAGCAGGGTTCTCTCTATTTGTACTCTTTAGCATGACGCGCTTGACAAAGATGGCCCACAGCGACTTACGAAGAGCTACTGATTCCAATCAATAGTTGTGTACGTTAGTTGTGTACTGTAGAATACCACCCTTCACCACGCGGTGATTGAATAAACACCCCGAAAAAAAAAATTACAGTGAAATTTTCACTGGAAACAATGCTCTAACATTAATATTTATTGTCGACAATAAAAATTATTGTTATAATGTTGTACCCTTCCGAAAACGGCAAAACTGCTACCTAGATGTACAATGAATGTTCATAATAAAATGTTGTTGATTTTTATGGTATTTTTCATTTATTTTATTGTTAACATGATTCGATCATGAACAATAATGAACAACTCTATTACAATAAAAATTGTTGTTACATTAAATATTGGTGTGTTTTCATTGTGGGTTACTTCACGAACAATAAAAATAAATCTGATTGAAGCATGCAGACTATGAGAGGGTCAGCGACACTGCCAATGAAATCAAGATAGGTGCTGCTCGTATGGCTCTGGCTTTGACAGTTCGTTTGGCTCAAAACCAGCCAGTCCGCGTCTCTTATCCTAGACCCTCTCTAAAGCTGGGTTAAGATGGTTCAATTCAGCGTTCAACTCACTTGAACTGCGAAATGAACGTCCAGAAATCTGACCGATATCGGACTTGCTCTATTCGTTGCCAAGTCAGTTGAACGCCTACGACCAGATCGGTTTGAGTTGAATTCAACTCACCTGCTTCATCTAAATCCCGCTTAATACAGATCTTTTCCGTGCAATCAATAATCATACAATAATAATAAAAAAACTCCCTACTTGAAGATGTCAGGAAGGAACTCTCAGGTGGAAGCATATTTCATGGGCGATTTTCTCCAGTCGAATGCATTAACTTATCAACGACGTTCAACCACCAAGGAGACGTGATGTAGGGAGATCGAGTGCAGGAGAGTTGGCCTCCATTTATCACAAGTTCCGGATCGAATCTCAATCCATAACCAGTAAAAAAGGACTCACTCGTAACAGACATACCACCCCTTTCTTTTTAAAGTCGATAAAGTAGATCTGTCAAGCCAACACATACACTCTAAAGTACACTGTTTTTTTAATCAATAAATTCGCCAACCAACAGTAAAATAACAATAATATATAATGTTATTGAAAAAATATATATGGGGAAATCACAAAAATTTCATTGTTAAGATACTTAACAAACCGCCTTTTTTTTTTAGAAAATTTTCCATTTACAATGAAATTTACTGTTTTATAGAACATAAATCAAGGTAAATATAATATACATCATTGTTAAGACAATATTTTTTGTCTTATTGTTACATTGTTTTAAAATGTATTTTTGTTGTAATTTTTTTTCGGGCCGTTTGTTGAGACCGGATGGAATTCAACTTTGAAATCTGTGTTAGGGAAATCGCTTTTCGCAGGTAATCGCTGATAATTTTTATTACCATAGCAACAGTTGCACATTCATGCAATTTTCAATAGTGACATTTTGAAAAATGATAAAGTCTTGAATTAAACAGATGCGTTTAAATATTTCTGATCGATTGGTGATAACATTATTGAAATGTGTACCCCCATATAGAAATCACAGACGTAGTGCTACGTCAAAACATTGAGTGCTGTTTAACAGTTAAGGGTTTGTGTGTCAGTTTTGGCACTACCCAACAAACATTGGAAGCGGAATAAGAGCTTATTCAGATAAAAATATGCTGCTTCTGCTAAAAAATTGCTTATTCAGCCTTTAATCAGCACACATTGTTTGTTGGGTAGTACGCCAGTTTATAGCCCTGAAATATTACAGCTTGAAAAAGTAAGTACACAAGAAAATGTCTTGCTAATCTCTCGTGTTTGACACGTGGTGCGCCATAGTGGCATCTGGCACAACAGGTAGAAAAGTTCCGGTACGAGTGCAGAGTGCCGACAAAGTAGACGGGTGTCAGTAGGCCGGGTGGAAAAAACAGCCGGCCAAACCACTTCCAACGGCAAACCGCCCGCAGAAGACGTGCACACGCACTGGTCATGAAACGGACTCTTGGTCAGGAACTCAGCGTAGTCGAAGGTAATTTGCTGCAGATGGGGACGATGATTCTAACGTCTTCGTTTTAATTAGGCACTTTTCAAATCGGCTCGAGCCAGTAACAGTGATGAACCGGTCGGTACACGGACCGCTCGGAAAACGACTGAATTGGAAGGAGAAAGAAGCGTACCGATCCGAGAGTGAGTTCCACGGCACAAGTATTGTCTCTGTCGATGTTAATAGAAAGCCTTTTGAGGGCGAGAGAGAGAGAGAGAGAGAGAGAGAGAGAGAGAGAGAGAGAGAAAGAGAGAGAGAAGAAGAGAGAGAGAGAGAGAGAGAGAGAGAGAGAGAGAGAGAGGGAGAGAGAGAGAGAGAGAGAGAGAGAGAGAGAGAGAGAGAGAGAGA